ACCGTAAACGAAACGTAACGTAACGTAGTAGTAGTTAGTAATTAGTACGTAAACGAAACGTACGACCGACGTACCTCCTCTACTACGTATAACTAACTACTCTCTCTCTCTCTCTCTCTCTCTCTCTCTCTCTCTCTCTCCCTCTGAACATTTGGGAAGGATGACTATGTAAGAAGGCCTTTTCACAGAGTTTGTGAGAAAATTCTTCTAAAGCCTTTAGATAACCCTCATCATCTCAATGAGTGGGCCTGAGTTCTTATTCCATGATGACTATGTAAGAGGGCCTTTTGACAGAGTTTGTGAGAAAATTCTTCTAAAGCCTTCAGATCTCCCTCAACATCTCAATGAGTGGGCTTGAGTTCTTATTTTCTTTGATTTAATATCAGCCATTAGATGTCAAATTCCCACCCTTTATGGCACTTTTACCTATGTGAATTAGATTTCACGAGAGATATGGATAACTTCATGAAAAAACCCCTAGAATCTTGTTTCTTAAAATCAAATCCAATTTTTCCTTGCACATAGGGTCAGGATAATCGGATGAAAACTTTGTTAAGTTTCTAGTATCTAATGCTTCCCTCTTTATAGGCTTAAGATGAGATGTCCCTAATTTTCTAGATTTCCTTATTTTTCTATCTTAAGTAGAGAATTGTGAATAGTTTGAGTATTTTTGGATTGTTTGATTACAATGTTTTAATTTTTTAACAACTATATATGTCAAGCTAAAATAAGAGATTGGAAATCAGAAAACAGTCATATTTATTTTCATGATATATAAAATTTCTGAGTGTCGTTGAGAATTTAAGCAGAATAGGAATAAGAAACTCCATAAGTTTATAGATTTTCTTGATTTTCTGTTTCATGTAAAACTTTGGATTCTGCTATATGGCTTGAAGCTTCTTGCACAAAGATTAAGACAAGAGCTTCATGAGTTGTCCAACATCTCTCTTCATCTCTTGAACCCTCAAATCAATTAGGTCAAGAGTCCTAAATGGTGATCGGAATCACATACCCCATGTCTGGTTTTGAATCAACAAAAATCAGGGGTTATTGTTGCATGGTGATGACTGGTTAGCATCATCCCTGACAGGCTTAGAATATGTAACAGAGGTAGTTTCACATTTTTTGGTATATATCTAGTTAATGTCCTTAGTTAATGGAATTGTTTCTTCAGTACTTTTCATTTGTTATTTCTACAACCATTAGAAAAGTTGTAGACACATGTATTTTTAATGTGCTAGAAAGAGTATAGAACTACATATGAACACGAAACTTGGTTTACAGCAAAAGCTTGCCTTAAGTCTCTACCCGAGTCTTGTATGCTCTTTTTTATATATTTAATTTGGAATTTATATAAATAGTGCATTCTGTATTACTCCTTTTTCCCCAAAAAACTGTTATTTTGAAACATGTCTTAACAAATGTATGCTCCTTCTGATGCTTTTCTGTTTGAACAGTTGAAGAGGGTGCAATTGAGGGCAAGCTCTTGTGCGTCCACTGCGAAGCACGCTTGGGATACTTCAACTGGTCTGGTATCCAGTGCAGCTGTGGGAGCTGGGTCACACCAGCCTTCCAGCTCCACAAGAGCCGGATCGACATTAGCACCGCCTAGTCCTTTAGGGAATTATCATCTTATAATATGGTTGAGAGAGAGAGAGAGAGAGAGAGAGAGTCGTGAGTAGACTCTACAACACTAACGTTACTCTATTTACTTAAATAAAAGTAGTAACTTACTAATAATAATTAACTCTAGTGTAGTACGTTCCGTCCGTCGTC